CTTGTTCCTCAAGATGTGAGCTCAGCTTGCAGCTCTAACCACCATGGCCACCACCTTCCTCCTCCTGACACGCTGTTTCCACCATCACGGACTCCAACCCTCTGAAATCATAAACTCAAATAAACTCCTCCAGAAATTGTCCTGGCAAGGTGTTTTATCACAGTGGAAAATACAATGCATTTACTCCATTCTTCTTTCCTGGTTAGTTTTCTGCTGGTCTCTGCTCTCATACCTTTGAACACAGTTAGTCTCCCAGTTCCTGCCCAGCCCTTACTCCATGAGACTTTTTAGGTTAAGATGCCCCTCTGGATTGGAAGTTTTAAAACTCAGTTATGTTATTATAAACATGTTTTCATTTTAATCCCAGATGTAGGATATTGGACTGATTCAGATGGTCCACAGCACCAAACTAATGGCCTCATGGGGGCTCTGAGAAGGGCTCTTTGCCAGCTGCAGCTAGTTTAAATCAGAGGGCTCTGAGAGGGAATAAATGCCAGAGCCCAGAGAGAGAAAGGGCGCTCCCAGGAAGGATGCTAGTGCTCCCCTGGCCACTCCACTCACCCCACCCCGAGATGCTCCTGGTGGCTGTTGTTGCAGTTTGACAAGAAGTCGGAGATCTGCTGAAACAGAGATTGGACCTGCCCCAAGGAACCCAATGACCCTCAACATCAGGAAGTAGCTGATGCCCCCTATCCCCACTAAGCTTCTTTCTCTCCAACCTGGTGTTGGGGTGTTGGAAGGGACTGGGGTGGAGAAGGGAGAGAGAGGCACTAAGGAACCCAAAACAAAGTATTTTAACAGCACCCCTCCCGGTGGACTCTCCCGAGTGAAACTATGGGCAGAACACAAAACCACAGACAGATCTAGTCAGTTGTGCTTTCTGTTAGCATTGTTTTGTGTTTTACCATCTGGCTCCTCTAGGTGGCACATAGGAGGTATTTTTTTGTTGAAAAACTACTATATTTATTAGACTGATGCTGAGATATGGCTTACTGTTTCTAGGTTTTACAATTCATTTATGCCAGGGAAAGAGAGCAGGAGGTAAAGTTGCTGGTGTTTTGAACTCTGGACAGATTATTCTAACTGCTGCCAAGAAGCTCACATTTAAAGCCGGAAGCCGATGTTTAACTTTCCCCTAACCCTGCTTGAAAGTGGAAGCATAAGGAGCCATTTGTTAAGGGATAAATCAGCTTAAAGAGCTGAGCGTGCAGCTCAGTAGTAGAGTCCTTGTCTTCCATGCAGGCGGCCATGGGTTCAATCCTCAGGACTGCAAAAAGAAAAGGTAAAATGTGTGTGTGTGTGTGTGTGTGTGTTTTCAACCACAATTGTTTAGATATCAAGTAGAGAGGCTCTACTCTATAATTACTCAGAAAACAGTTACACCCTGGAAGCCACTCCACATTTCTATTTTATTGTATTGAGAGAGGATATCATGTATTCCAGGGAAGCCTCGGATTCACTATGAAGCTGAGAGTAAGCTTCAGTCGCCCCAGCTGCGGCAGACAAGCACTAGTGCTGGACACAGAGCCAGGGCTATTGTTCACTCCCAGCAAGAACTCTCTCCTCCAAGCTACCCCCACAATAAGCACATTCACTTCTAAACTCCTTAGGCCATTTTTAATGTAGTTAAGTTCAAGATTCAAAAAGAGGAATTCAATTTCTGTCCAGTAAAATCCCCCAAAACACCCAAATATTCTTCAGAGTGAAAAAGGTTAATGGCTGGACAGATAACAGAATTTTACTGCTTGAAACTTGGTGTATACACAATTTAAAATTTGCACATGTAAAGGCTGATAAAGCCAAGACCATTCGTGATACTTGGAGCCGGGAATCTGAACTCACTGGTTGTTGGAGCCTCTTTGCCTGTCTCCTCTCCCTGGGGGCTTGCCCTGGGCTCCCAGACCTCTCAAGGAGTCTTCCCTAACACAGTCTTGGGGGCCTGTACTTCTCACAATGCAATAAAAGCACCTGAAGCAAAGCAGAGCCTCGAGAGCAGGATTCCATAGTGCGGTTTCGGCTTTCTCTTTTCTCAAGCACTTCTTTTCCTCTGCTGTGACATGCTATATAGAGCTCAAACATAGTTGTGAAGATAGTAGTGCATAGCTGAAGGGAATCTAATTCAGAGCTATATTCTCCTTTAGAATGGGGGTGTGATCCCAGCCCACTTGTTAGCAGCACCTGGACCTGTGACAGAAATAGCAGAGTCTGCTGCAGGCTTCAGCTGCCTCTGTAGTCACTGCTGGGTGCTGTGACCTGCAGCAGCCAGGACATTTATTCTCCAAGGTTGTGCTGTAGTCTTGAAAGCTATGAAGCGCTACGGTTCTCCCTGTGATCAGGTGCCAAAGAAGTGGCCAGCACAATCTTGAGAAGAGCTAGGTATTACACTGATAGGATAAGATGTCAAGGCTTATTAATCCCTTGCGCTTGCTGACATCAGATCACCAGGCCAGCCTGGGTGCAGGAAGAATTTCAGCCAAGGGGTAAGATTACAGTTAAGTGCTGCCAAGCTTCAGCGCTTTTTTATCAAGTACAGACTCCAGCTAGAGGTGAGTCACCAGAATGGAAAGATCATCTATTCAAAGGCAACAACCTCACCCACTGCTCTTGTGATTTCTCTTTGCTCTTCCAAGTTTCATTTGCATTTCTTTTTCTGCAGCAAGGAAAGTCATTTTGGCATCTTGCCAATGCTTCCATCAATAATCCCAGACAATGTATTCAGATCCTGCCTCTCTTCCCAATCTCGAGGCAAACAAATTATTTTGCTGTTAATAGAGGAAACCACTTCTTTCTGTCTTCATTGAGATACCAATATTCCAGGTACTGTTCATTCCCTCATCTCTTGTAACTCATGATGCACAGCACCCCCACCAGAACCAAGAAAAACACTCATCTCTTTCCCATATGCAGAAAAGCCCAGGGCAACCCTACCAAGGAGACCTTTCCAGCCAGCAGGCCTTCCACCTCCCACTACAGTTAGGGACCTGGCCACACAGAGATGAAATAAACAGACCCTGACCCTTGACCTCAAGATAGTATCAGAATGAGGCACCAGCGTGCAACCACCGCATCATGATTCAGTAACTTCTGTCATGAAGGCATTTGCAAAGTTGAAAACAAAACATGATGGTGCATTAAGGAAAAGGGCTGATATTTGAACTCCGTTTGTAGAATATGGCCTGCACAGTCTAAACCCAGCTTCTAGAATACGACCTGCACGGTCTTAAACTGAATTTCAACCTTGTCTATATGTTAAGGAAACCACTCTTTCTCATTTAAGATGTGTTATTTTCAGATCACAGCTAAACACAAAATGTCACATTTTTATGAATGGAAATTATGATATTATACTGCTAAAAAGATGATAAAACTTTTTGAAGGCAATTTCTGAAGAAGCAAAGCAAACACTTTGGGGTAGTGAGATGGCTCAGTGGTTAGGAACATGGGCTGACGCTGGCTTTGAGGTCATAGGAATCCTCCTGCCTCAGCCTTCTGAGTACTGGGCTTGCAGGTTTGAGCCACCATATCCAGCTGTAGTTCTTAGTAGGTAAAAGAACAGTTTGGAGAAAATAATTTCTGTGATCTTTATATATGTCTAACTTAAAATCTGTTAGTTCCTTAAAAGGAGCTAATAAAGGTTATGATGTATTTTTTTTTAATTTTTTATTTAACTTTTATTAATTACACTTTATTCATTTTGTATCCCCCCATAAGGCCCTCCTTCCTCCCCTCCTAATCCCACCTTCCCTCCCCCTTCTTCACACATGCCCCTCCCCAAGTCCACTGATAGGGGAGGTCCTCCTCTTCTTTCTGATCTTAGTCTATCAGATCACATCAGGAGTGGCTGCAATGTCATCTTCCGTGGCCTGGTAAGGCTGCTCCCCCATCAGGAGGAGGTGATCAAAGGGCAGGCCAATCAGATTATGTCAGAGGCAGTCCCTCTTCCCATTACTATGTAACCCACTTGGACACTGAACTGCCATGGGCTACATCTGTGCAGGGGTTCTAGGTTATCTATGATGTATTCTTACATCCAAGTTTCATACACTCTACATGAATTTGGATTTGTATATATTCTGCTTTCTTGTGCCAGCAGTATTTGTATCCACTTTAACTTACATTTTCTCAAGTATTAAAATGTAAACATAAAAAAAAAAAAAAAGAACACGGGCTGTTCTTCCAGAAGACCCAGGTTCAAGTCCCAGCATCCATATGATGGCTCACAACCATCTGTCATTCCAGTCCTATGGTGTCTGATACCCTCTTGATTGTCAAATTGACAAGATTAAAAATCACCCTGACTCTAAATTTGTGGCTACTGTCAGTGGGGAGTTTCTAGACTGGCTAGTGTATGAGGAGTCTCCAGAGAAACAGACCTGACAGAGTGAATAAATGTAAATTCATGTCTATGTAAACGCACACAGCAGGAGATTCATGTAAAGGGAGTTCATGAGAGCAGCTTATAGGCTGTGGTCCAGATAGTCCAACAGCGGCTGTCTCTAGACAGTGAAGTCCAAGAATCCAACAGCCATTCGGTCTAGTAGGCTGGACATCTCAGCTGGTTTTCAATATATATCAGAATTCTAAAGAGGAGGCTCTAGTGCCATAGAGGGGCCGCCTCAGCAGCAGGGTATACAAACTTGCTAGAGAGTGGAGGTCAAGCAGGCAAAAAAGCAAAAGCTTCCTTCGCCTATTTATGTGGGCTGCCACCCGAAGGTGTGGTCCAGATTTAGATTCGTCTTCCAATCTCAAATAATACAATCAAGAAAAATCTGTCCCAGGTGTGCCTAGCTGCTGGCGTGCCTAGTTATTTCCAGATTTAGTCAAGAACAGGCACAGCAGCTGGGCTCACTGCAGTGGGAAGATACAGCCTAAGTCAGAGGTTCTCACCCTTCCTAATGCTGCGACCCTTTAATACAGCCCCTCATGCTATGGTGATCCCCCCAACACCATAAAATTATTTTGTTTCTTCCTACCTTTAATTTGCTAGTGTAAAGAATCACAATGATACTTGATGTGTAGGATATCTGACGTGGGAGTCCATTCACAGGGCGAGAACCGCTGCCGCCTTAGGCGGAGGTGGTGCTCCATGGGTTGTGTTCTCAGTTGTGCAAGAAGAGGGCACCGAGCATCAGTTGCCACGCTGCTTCCCCTGTGGATGCAGTCATCAGCGGCCTCCAGCCCCGGCTGCTGTGACTTCCCTACCACCCTGGACTGTACCCCCAGACTGTGAGGGACACGTTCCCTTCCTTTCTTAAATTACTCTTATCAGGTATCTGTCACAGCACAGAGGAGAACTAAGGCAGAGCCACTAGGACCTGTCTAGTTCTCGAAACCTGTCTGCTGGCAACCAGCCCTTAAATGCATGAGCACGGGAGGCATTTCAGAGCCAGACTACAATGTGGAGACAGACAAGGAAGGAGTCTGACTCAATACGGGGAGTTGAGGAGGACAGGAGAGACACACAAATAAAGTAAATTAAGGCCAGTAAGAACCAAGGAGTGAGCACGGTACCCTAGGAGCACGTCACAGTATTAAAACGTAGGCTAGAAAGTCAACGCTCACACATTCACACTATTTTTCAGTAGAGCTATTAATACTGGGCAGGAGACACCTGTTTGAGAGACAGCTCGTCATTCATTTATGACAGTTGGGAAAATTCCCAGTGAGCAATTTGGTTAAGATAAGGCAAACATGGACATGAAGATACATAATATCAAGAGCAGTGGAAGAACTTACTGTTGCTTTCTGTGCCTTGCACTTTAGTGAGCACAAGAGCTTTAAATGCTGCTGAACAGAAAATTCCACATTCAAATGTAAGTCATCTAAGAGGCAGAAAGGCAGCTTCTAGACCAGGCTTACCCCTTCACTTGTGCTCTTTGCAGTATTTATAGAAACGGTTTCCTTCCTGTGCATCAGCAGCCACATCAGCAAATCGGCTTACCATAATACAGGACTGAGAACTAAATGAACAACACTCAAGGTTAAAGTAAATTAAATTCAGCACACTGTGATGCATACAGAGCTCTCAATAAACATTATTCTCATTATTACTTTACCAGGATTTTTGGCATGGTCAGTAGCATCAGCCAAGGTTAAATTTCTCCTTGCCTTGCCATCCCAAGTTGTTTTCTTTATTCCTTAGTGTCAGCCTTTGCAAGGCCAAACAGTTAATTAAATGACAACTTCATCACGCTTTATCAGTACCCAGAACATGTACTGATGATGTCACCACATGTTATGACCACACGTAATCTGTAAGCTAGTTGTCTTTTTCCTTTTTTTTTTGTTTGTTTTAAATAAGCTCCCACTACACTGCCCACACTGGCCTGGAACTCTTAATCCTCTCACTACTCCTTCTCTAGTGTGATCTTTTCTTTTATTAACAATTCAGTGTGATTTTAAATGAACATACTCATCCTCCTAGCTGTAACTCTAAGGGAAGTTTCCCTATTGCTCTTTTATGTCTTTAGAATGTAAGTATTTATCTGACACTCATTATAGTTTTTCTATTGAAATTAGCATGCACACCATGAAATGATGGCATACAGCTGCAAATTCAGAAACAGTACTTTCGTCTTAAAAGCTTCCTTAAATGGTGTTCCTACACCATTCCACTGTTCCATCTCCAGAACCAGGGTGTCAGTCTGGGTGAGCTGCTTTAATAAAATGTCTCAGACTGGGTGGCCAAGACGGAGTGATCTCCAGGTCATGGTGCTGGCAGATGCGCTGTCTGCTGAGGCCGCCTGCTGTCTCAGAGGCTGTGCTGCCTTCCTGCGTCCTCATGTGGCGGCAGAGTCGACTAGCACAGACCCACCCCACAATACCTTACACTGAGATTTACATTCAACACGTGAAGCTTGGGGAAATGCAAATATTCAGACATACCTATCAAAGTTTATGGATATTATTTTCAAGTCATTGTATAATATAGAAAATGCATATGAAAACATTTCCAGCTCTTCCCCCCCCCCCCCCCAATACAGGGCATTTTGAAAATGTCCTGGTTTCTGAAAACATCTACTAGCATATAAAGGTTATGAGACTGCCTCAGTGAAACTGTACACCAATCACAAATATTCAGGCCACTCTGAAGGGGAAGTGTGTTTGCTGTGGCTAGTCACTAAGTGATAAAAGCAAATCTTAACAATCTGGAGGCAACCTCAACAGGAGCTGAAAGCAATTCCACAGCACATTGTACGAATGGTTTCATGAGTTAGGAGGCAATGCAGCTGACCAGCAGGGAAACGATCCCACACTAACATTAAAAACAACTAAAGCTACCTAGCTTTTGGATAAAATATTATTTATTTGCATAAGAGTCCAAAAGATATTTTTTGATCATCTTCAGTTAAAGTCTAGGCCAAACAGTGACTGCAAAGCCAGCCGCACAGCATTTGGCCAAGTTGCACATTTAGAGTCAATGCACTCACAGGTGCAACCTGGCCTCTTCAGTGCACACTGCATGGCCCCACCTACAGGTCTCATCATGAGCAGTAACATGTCCTCACACCTCAGGCTCTGAGACGGTGCAGGGAGAGAGCAGGGCATGGACCCCTATGGACAGGTCTTGGACTTCAGATGGCCAATGTACCCCATCTTGCTATGTTAGGTCAGCGAAACACTTAGATGGAAGTGAGAGTCTGGAGTCAGTCATGAATGAAATGGATGGATGATGACAGTGAAGTTTAATTTAAAAACTACATTTATTTATTATTTAGTTGGGGGTGGGATGTGTGTGCCACACCCAGACGAAGGTCAGAGGACAACTTGCAGGAGCTGGCAGTCCTACCACACTGGGTCCTAGGGACAGATCCCAGGTGACCAGGCCTGGTGGCAAGTCCCTTTACCTGCTGACACATCTTTCAAACAGCATTAACTCTTAGCATAATTACATGGGGAAGAGCAGAAACTACTCTCTTTTAAAACTCTCCTTAAGAAATCCTTACTAGTCTATGTCAGTTCCTGAATAATAGCTTTTCCTATTCTGAATACAAACTGTACACAAACAGGAGCATGGGAGCCACGTGGCACCCTGATCCCACCCCACTCTCACTACCAGCCACTAATGGCGGCTCCCTGTGCTGTCCCACAGCAATCAGTAGGCAAAGCTCAACGAGCCGTACAGCAAGCACAAGGCAGGGGCACTTGCGCCCTCCCTCCTAGCACTGACCTCGTCCTTAACAACATAGCATTGCTCCATGGCCACTCCCACTCTTCCTTACTCTTCAACAGCTCCACTGGCTAATAAATACAATTAGCAAACCACACACACGCACGCATGCACACACACGCTCACACACACTTTCTTTAAGTTCTTATCTTTAAAACAATGTCATGTGGTTTTATTTCCTAATTTCAGTATTTTTTCTAAAACATTTAAACAAATGTAATAATGAATCTGCTATCGAATACTCTAAGATATCCCTAAACCTATATTTACTTTAAACAAAGTTTACACTAAAAATTTCATATTGTCGAATAAATTTCCAAAGACCTTAAAGAAAGCATTCAAAATGTGATACAGTCTAGTGTTTATTTATGTTATGGCAGATACACTTGAATTCCAAATTTTAAAACATATAAAAAGTGATTCAGGACTAACACCTGTGTCAACAGTTGACAAGTGTCTGGCTGTTTATTATACAGCAGGGTACATGGTAGCACTGATGCCAAACTGGCAGCATGGGATGAGATTATCAGTAGGCTTTCTACAGGCAACAGCATTTGCTGCTGTTTGAGAAATTCAGAATCTGCTTCCAATGCTCCAGTTGTCTAACGTTTCTAGGGTTAAACAGTGTTAGGTATTTAGTTTGGCAAATGTTAAAATAAAGTATAAATGTATTCGTAAGCATCACAGATATGCACATCCAGTCTTCATCTCAGAAAGAAGCATAGGTACAGATCAGAGCTCTCCCTACATGAAATAATTTACACACAGATGGTGGCTATCATATCACTATCTAAAATAATCACTAAGTACAATTCTTTTTCAGAAATAAACAAGCAAGTTTTTTTTTTCATTATCAGTTATCAAAAACATAGTGTTAATGGTATTTCAAACAAATGATACTCTAAAATCATAGATTTTCACTGAGTTTTGAGAATGTGTAATTAAATCAACCAAATATACCGTAGTACAACCGTATTAGGAAGCCCATGATCAGAAAATACATCGGCATGAAGAAAATTTAATCCACAAAACTATTTTCAGGCGTTAAGGTAAAATAGTTCCACAGTTCACAGATAAAACAAGGCAACAAAAGCTCGTGCTTGTCTTGAGTGCGTATTCTATGCAGAAGATGTAACACTCTGTTTGTAGACAGCATGGTATGCATTTCTCAGCAATACATACGGAAAACAAGACTCCAAGAGATCCATTGTCAGGAATGGTGATTCCTGGACAATCTGAAAAAGCAAACACAGTGTCAAATTCAAGCTATTCACTAAGTGGAAGTAGTAATCAACAACTCTGTATTCCTCTCACTAGAAACAGACACAAACCATTTTACTTCAAAATCTAAAATCCAAATGTGCTAGAGTGAACTTTATCAAAATATTTTTAAATGCTATTCTCAAGTTTATCAGTTAATCAGTAGGAACACAGGGAACATAGATCTTCAGCCATACTCTAAACATAAAAAGGAATACAAAAGCATTAGAAATGTAATCGCACATTTTAAGAGGCTCAACACCAAGCTAGAATGTAAAGTAAAACACACACACATACACACAGAGACTGTCCATAATTGAATGGAAACAATGAATTCTAGAGTTCAAAAGGAACCAAGACTAATCCAGGGCTGAATGATCAGGAAAGGTGCTGATCCTCAAGGCAGACGCAGACCTCCGAAGGCAAAGAAGACTCCTGCAAGAAGAGCTTCGAGGTGGACTCCCAGACACTGCCACGCGGAAGCTCAGAGACCTGACCTTGGCACAGCAGGCAATACCAGGCCTGAGCACACCCTTATAGCATGATGCAGACAGTGCTTACCCACCTGTGGTCTCATTACTTCCTATTGTCGACTATGGCTGAATGGGAGTAGTGGCAGGCTCTGCAGGGATGTTTAGAAAGTATATGGTTTGGGTGG